TTTTTTTTTTTTTTTTTTTTTTTTTTTTTTTTTTTGTTTGATTTCGTTCGTTTTCTGTTTCAGCAGATCGAGACCGAGCGACAGTTGTGACAACAGCGGCGCGAGATGCGAGTCGGTACACCTTGCGTGGATGTTTGCGCGCGGACCGATGCCGTCCTGACAGCTCAGATAACGGGCGTGACATTTTGAAAAATTGAGGCCAACGATGCGAACAACGTCAACGAAATGCATCCTCGTCGTCCGTTTTCCTTCTCCCCCTTTTTTTCCACCGCTGCACCACCACGAGCGTTGGCTCCGCGAAAAAAGCAGGAAAAAATGCAACAAAACAGAACAACAAAAAAAGAGAGCCAACGTGAAACAACGTACACCGGTTCACCATTAACACGCTCGATATATCCAATTTTGAATTACGAGCGAATATTCGAAAACGCGCGACACCTTTTTCCGAGCAGACGACGCGCCTCTATAAGGCCTTCACTTCGTTGAATGAACTTTATGATGAAATATCGTAGTGGCGGTTCGGTGTCGCTCTTTCAAGGATGGTTAGAAATCAGATCTGGAAACGAATATAGCCATAAATGTCTAATACACTACTTTTCTTCGCACCTCAACATTTTTACGTTCTCGACAATGCATTTTATATGGTTTTATCGAAGCATTAGAGCGAAGTAATCGAAATATCTATGTTTGTTTTCGTATGCAGCGTCAAAAGACATAAGCATTTTGAAAACATCGAACGTAAGCGTGTGTGTAAATTTTATTATCGAACAACATTCTGTTGTATTAATGAGAATTCATGTGCGGCCGTATATACGCGAAAATCGAAAGAAAAGAAAATCGAAACTAAATGACCAGAACAGGGACAGCGCTGTCTGGAAGAAGGAATCCATAATGGCAGGTCGACGTTGAGCTGGTCCGAGCATCGATGGGCCTCATACACGTCCTCGACTAGCAAGGAATACATCCGAGATATTTAAAAAGGCCACTATCCGTTATCTCGATCGGAGAACGCGAAGGGTCGTTTGAAATATTTCTTCCTCCGGTGTTTCGAAGGTCTGCCATTCGAATGGCTGCCGGCCAGCGCACGAGAAAACAAAGGCGCACCAGCAACGTGTCCTCGTGTCTCGTTTCTTTTTTAATTATCACCCTTCCCTGGCTTCACACGCGTTTTGCTTTACGAGCTGTTCATACTGAATTTTCCATAAGTCTCGTAAGTTATGAATTTCGTAGGGAGTAATAACAATAACTCTGCGCAGCCAGGATGTTTCTTTCTACAGCGATGTAAAAAAACTAATTTACTCTCAGTTCGTAGAAGGTGAAGTAATTTTCAAACTTTTTTTCAATTATCAGATATGCAAGTTACAATCTAGTTACAAGCTGAGTTTACGGAAGCTTCGTAGCAACGTCCGGTTTGATTTTTCCAGCAGTTTGTTTTCCCCTCCCTTAATTTCCACCGACGATTAAACGTTTCCCGTATATAAGGCGACGATCTTTTCCATCGTCATTCTTCAAAAGGAACGCGTCGGGTGGCCAGTAGCGATCGTCAGATAAAACAGAACGATTAGCCTTTGAATGAGTCGAGCGTACGGAACGAAACAAAGAAACACCAACGATAAAGAAAGAAAACGTCTATCGGTAAGGAAATTGTCATTTGTGGAACGATATATATATAACACGAATGTACTCACCAGCGAATCGACCTCCGGATCGGCGATGTAGTAAGGTTTTTCTTGTCTGATCTGTAACACACAAGGAGACACGTAAGAATCTTTAACAATTAGGTTCGGTGGTAATTGCTATATTAAAACTATAGAGACGATCGTATCTCGCCCAGTTATATATGCGCACACGCGCGTTCCTTTATCTTGTACGTCCCGGTTCTCCTTCTCTTAGATCGATCCTTCGTTCCATATCCCCTTTTTACCATCATTTTATTCTATTCCCGTGCACCTCGTGGCTGGCCATGGGATTCGCTGTTCCAGCCTAGTGTCTCTCTCCAAGTGATTTCCTCCGCGTGCTTTCTCTTAATTGGACCCCTACGGTTCAATTCGTACGTATAGAAACGGAAACGCGTCGGTGAACGCGATGGAATTCTCTGAAGCGCGCAAGAGAACAGTTCCGACCATTGGGGATGCGTAAAAGAGGGGAAACGGTGAAAAACGAGAGAGGAACGAGACGAGGAGATTCTCAAGCATTTTCATGGCGCCGCATAGTGCCGATCAGAATGGAAACAGAATGCACGGGGGAGAGAGAGCTCGATGCCCGAGAGCGCTCGATGCTCGGGGCCCGCTCTTAATTGGACCCACGGTGTTCTTACTGAAAGGAAGCGAGCCGGGATCCAAGGGAAAAAAGAAGGAACAAGACGAACGACAAATCTTGATGGAAGTACCGGTTAATCTCGTGGAATCCACCGACGGACCGCAGCAGATTATGCTCTCTCGACACCGAACCGCGCCATCTGATTAGATCGCTCGTCCCCTACTCTCGGATGAATATCGTTAACATTCTTCCCGCGCCGCCACGGTCCTCGATATTGTTTCTCTGATCGGTATATCGAAATAGGATACCCAATGAAGTTTCGTAATCAGTTCCCGCGGTTTTCTATGGGAGAAAGGAATTAAGAGGGTCGAAAATTGCTCCATGACGTGGAAGAACATTAAGTTTTCTCAATTTTCTTTGATATAGGTTCGACGTTTAACCATCGTCCATTTCTTGTTTCAATTTAACGTTGCTTCGTTAATGACGCGTGATGCGGACGAACTTATTGCTCGAATGTATAAATTTGATAACAAAATTTGATTGGATTTTCGTCATATCGACTTTTTCTCGTCGCCAATTTTACATCGAAGGACAAATCAATTTGGAACTATACATGATGGATGAAGAAAGCGGCTATTAGAAATGCTTGAAGAATTTTAGTAATCGCATTAAAGCGTAATGAACAGGTTACAGTTTCCCAAAGCACCACACATAATTCTTAAATTCCCCATCGAAATTCATCTCTCTGTGTTTCCTATTGCATAACAATTTATAAAATCGTGTCTTCGGCGAATAAAAAATTTCCCCCGAATAATTCAGATATACAGAGTCGAGCGACCGAAAAGGGGAATCCAGATGAAAAAAACGGGTCGAACGTTAAAATCGAATTACCGGTCGACGACGGAGATCGACGTACGAAACGCAATCGCGAGAATTCTGGGAACGGGTTCGAGAAGCGTATTCATGAGTCTGAATTCTGAATGGGAGTTCCTCTCGCATTGGGTGTATGGATAATGAAGGCGTCTCGTACGCTTCACAAAAATACTGTCAACTGTTCGTAGTGGGGAAACTAGTTCTTGCAAGGTCCTGTCACTGTAGTTTTTCGGCGATCCCCAAGCGGCAAACTAAACGCCCGTTCAGGTAGCCACGACGATTACAAATTGTAAGCAGTTTCGTCTCTTGTCTCTCTTTCTCTCTCCCATCCTTTCGAATTTCGTTCCTTATCATCAACTATTCGACCACTGGTCACGAATAAACGTATAATTTATCGTTCTACCGTAGAATTTTACGTGGAACATGTAAGAAATAGAGATAGTATTGAGGTTAATCGTTTCGGTATAAAGATAAAGTAAAATCTACATGAAAGTTTGCGCCTTCTATCGTGAATGATTGAGACGACTGTATCACGGCGATTAGAGGTAGAGGGGCTGCGAGTGACAGCTAATTGAGCCCATGCATACATATGTATAAAGCAATACGAAAGCTATTAATGTGACGTTGTTTGCCGTTAAATATCTGAGATCGTCCATATTTATCGCACGCCAACTCGTGAATGAAACGAAGACACATCCGACTTCGACGAAGACGGCGTTGAGGTAAACTTTCTCTAACCACGTGGAAATTTCGACGGCGAAGCAAAATATTACCGTTAAAAACATGAACGAAGTATATCTGAACACCTTCGTTTTTCTTTTCTTCGCTGTAGACAACAAGGGAAAAGACGGACAGCCTGCTAGTGAAAAATAATAAATATAGAGTACGTCAGAGAAATTCCGCGGGACCTATACAACATCTCCATCGACCACGAGATAAAAATATGTATTGCGCGATAATATTTAGAAAATGTTCTCGCTCCGGCACGTCTATTTAGGACTAGCTGGTATGCACGTAGCCATTCGTGGTGTACGACGATCCCGTCGAGAGATATACGAAGCAGCTGCTCATCCGTCTGGCTGTTACTTCTGTTTCCTTGGCCATCGCTTTAGAGCCACCAAAAACGTACCTTCCTTGTATCTACCTAAACGTACCTTGTATCCTAAATTTCCATCTTCGACCATGAAACGCAAATGACAGGAATTTGGGACGATTTGTCAAGTCATTTGTATGAATTTGTCGGTATTCTACTAAAATCGACGAGAAATTAAAATAAAAGGGCTGTTTCGGAAAAATAGTATTTGGGCTCCGAAACCGGTAGACTTTAACTGTCTTAGCACGATAAAACAAATTGCACTCTAGGTAAATTTCACGAGACCTTTGTACCTTGCCTGAAATGTCTGGTGGAAATAGCAAGCGTAGCACGTTCCAAAGTGGCTAGGCAAAAGGCACGTTGCCGCAATAAAGCAATAGACAAAAGCCTGTCGAACCTGACTGGACGAGAAGATATATATTCGTCCCTTTTCACGTAACGTAAACCTAAACTTCAATGCTTGTTAACTTCTCCCGGAGGCCTTGATTCTGATGGTCATCCTTCCTAGTTTTACTTGGCGATCGTAAAGAAATTTAAAATAATTGTCCAACTTATTATTTGAACGAGTGCCGATTCGAAATGGAATTGGAGTTACCCTGACGAACACGACACGGGAGACTGTAAAAGGAAATTATTTTATATTTAGGAAATTATGATTATTTAATTGCCATTATAGAAGATAAAATACTCTTCTAAATTTATTAAAGTGTCCTATAGAATTATCTACTATTGTAAAATCGGAAAATAAAGATATAAATTTTTTCTTCGATTGCTTACAATTTATCAATATTAAATTGAATATACAAATATAAATTGGACAGAAACGATGTTTGTTTAACGGAAACTAAATGCAATACTCGTATCTATATCAAATAACTTTACGGTTATTTGGCCACTCTCGTCACACGAATCTAACACATTTTCTCTCTCTCTCTAGCAACTCGATCAATTCTCTCGACTCTACTCTTCGGTGTCTCGATTAATTCTAACGACTCTACTCTTCGACGACTCGATTAGCTCTGACTCTCGCACACACACACTTTTCGACTCGCACACTCTGATCTTTCGGTCGTCCCAACTTGAAACACGAAACCGTCCTTCTGATCTAACGTTGTCTATTGTTTTTCTCATACCTATGTAAGAACTAGGTGACTTTAGTCACATAGGCGCTCTTAAATGTAAACGAATCACAGAATGACGACGTACAAGATTTTTTTTTTAATTTCAACCGACTTCTACTTTAAATTACTTTATGATATTACACTATTTAAATTGATCGTTGTAAAATTCCAATTACCTTGATCGAAGTAGTTATAAAATTATGTGTGTATTTAAAATAGACCATAATCGATTGTTCTTCGAACGAAAAGATAACAATTGTGCGATTAGTAAAGATAACAGAGGGGAGCCAGGCGAGTGCAAAACATATGTAGTAATATGTAACAGCCTTAAATACCGTTTATGGTTGAATAACGAAGAAAATAATTCTTCGACGATAAAATGGAATAATAATACGAAAACCAATGAGAAGTATTGTACTAAGCAATGAGCTTGAAAAATCTTACTCAGCTTTCGCAGGTGAGGTGCGTTTGGTTAATTACCTTCGAATCGATCAGCACGCCGCGCCGTTCACAAAGCATCGATAAGCCAGGAATGGAACCTGCGATCGTTCAACGCTCTGGAATTCTGTGTAATCGCGTTTAATTGCATCGTTTTATAAGCGGCCAATAAAGCGAGCAATAAAGTGCGAGTCTATTAAATTTTTCCATTCCACAAAATGAGAGAGAGACAGAAGGATTCGTAAAATCGTATGATTACTGTTGAACAAACGAACCGACCTTCGCATGGAAAGACCGGTAGCGTAGATAACTCGATGATGCATCATCGATCTTTGGAAGCGACGATCACGCCTCTGGCTGCGCGACAAAAGAGATGTCGCGGATGCCGTTATCGCGATTATGATAATCCGGCTTTGCGCTTGTTTACACTACCCCTCGTGCTCGGGGCAGAGGGAATGAAGCGTCCTCGAATGCTACACGTCATCGATGCGGTTATCGAGACGCCGATCGTTAAAAATTATACGCGTAAACAATTCGTTGATTCGTTCCTAATTGACTTAAGTCTGGTAAACCCTTCGAAAATTCTTTAATCATACAGACTGCATGATTCTATGTAAATGCCTATAAATGCTTCCACCAGAGGAAAAGAAAAGAGGCAAATACATAAATTCCTGGGGAACGGTGTCCGCACCTTCGGGGCGGTAAAGCAAGTAGCGTGCGCGGCGGACGTGCCTGTTTTGTGGACGCATTAGTCAAGCCGTCTAAATGCGGGGGCTAACGTTTTACAAGGGTTTAATGTCCCCGGAGGTGAAATCTAATTGCAACGATAAATCACAACGGATCCTTATGCGGCACTTTTCCGTACGTCTCCTTTCTATACCGTTACTGCCTTTACGAATTGGGTCAATGCAGTGACGTTGTACTGACGTTGCAGATTACCACAGTTCGAGTGTCTGAAAGAGTAATGACGTATGCGTTCCAGGTAGTGTGACTACCTCGTGACGTGGTTTAAACTTTAAGTCGTTGCCGCGGGCCACGCGAATAAATCCCCTTTTCGGTGCTAAGGCGAAGAATTTCGTCGAACGAGTTTTTCGGTCGCGCAATAAAAGAGCGTCGATGCTCCCTTGGACGCGCGATTAATTTGGGCGCGGCGAAGCGCAACACGTCGCAACGGGACGCCGACGAAAGCGAAATTTTCACAGCGGAGCGCCCACGGTGGGCACGAAAACTGGGACAGCCGATCCATCTGGTAAAAAAGGGCACAACAATGCGCGTAACGTGGCGCAGCGGGACGCTCCTGCGGTGCGCGCTGCTACGTCGCAGGCAGCCACCAGCCTGGGCTGAACGCGGAGAGGCCAAAACCGAATAGCTCGGAGGCAACGCGAGCGCAAAAAGGGAGCGCGCGGACCACGGGGAACTGGGTTGCGTGTGAACTGGGTTGCGTGTGGAATGTATCGGGGCCCCATAGGGCACGCACGATGCGTGGACCGCACGGGATAATGCCAGGCCCCATTGAATAGATCAATTTACAATGGCAGAAAATGAGCAGCGCTCTCTCCAGCGGCTGCGGAGCACCCCTTCTCTCTGCCCCCTCCAACGTGCTGTGCTCTCGCCACGGTTCGTCGCTTCTCACGACTTGGCGGC